TTTTTTTGTGTGTGTACAGGGAATTGAACTCAAGATCTTGTGCTTGCCAGGCAGTCATTTGTGCTGCTGAGCTATATCCCTGGCCCCCAAACTCATTTTAAGAGCATATTCAAATAGAATAATTATTCCAAAGTTGGGATACATAGTGAAATAGGCAGTGAAGAGTTCATTTTCATCCTCTGGTAAAAAACACCGATCAAGTTTTAAAAATATAACAGAAAATACAAAGAAGAAATTATAATTTATTATTACAACTCCTATAGATAATTAGTTCACTGTTTCTACATTCTTTGTATTTTATATACTTTTACTTCTATTTTTCAAATAGATACAATAATAGTTTGTGATTTTTAAAAGTTTACACATGAAATACAAGTTTCAGCATGTCTAACAAGTACATTTTAGTTCAATCTTTGATGAAAAAATTAAAATGTAAAAACCTTTGTGAACTTTTGCTTTATTGGTATAAATAAACTTGATAAATAAATAATCTAACTCCAGCAAAGCTTCAGGTTGACAATAATATCTTAATACAATCATGCCTCCAATAAGCATCATGCGTACTATGGTCAAGTCATGTTGGGGAGCTGCTGAAGAAACACACAGAGAAAATAATCCTTTCAGAATAGCCATCAAACTGTGCTGTACTGACACACAGATAAAATGTAATTGTTATATATAATGTTATTTGTTTTCTCTGTAGGATAAAGTGAAGACTTCCTTAGTTTTTTCCTACAAATATTTTGAAATGCAACTGTGGAGTAATTTAATGAGGAAAAAATATAAATATAAATGAATTCTTACACACATACATAAAAGAATATGAGGTTTTTATTTTCACATATTAAGAAAACTTGTGTTAGCTTTCTTGGGGCTAAGACCCAGTACCAGGAATCCACAATGTAAAAGAGGAGAGGTTTAATTTGGTCGATGGTTTCAAGAAGTTCAGTCCCCATTTCACTCGCACCAAGGTGGGAACATCATGGTGGAAGAGGTTAGTGGATCAAAGCTGCTCAGCTCATGGGGGCCAGGAAGCAGCACAGGGGAATTATGCCAGAGAGGAGGGGGGAGGCACATATAGAATACTCAAGGCCATATCTCCTTGACCCACCCCCATACACACAGGAGCATGCTTGACTAATCTGCTAGGCTTTTCTTAATCCAATGAAGTTGACATATCAAGATTAATGGTCATAATACTCATTTGCATAAATATCATAACATAAACAAGCTAAACAGTCATCACTAAAAAGTAAGCACAGGACTCTGAATCCACAATTTCAAGCATGAAAATACTTTAAATACTTAAAATTTGTGACAATTAAGGTAGTTGGGGAGACATTAAATTTTAGTTAATCAAAATGAATAAGCTATACAGATCTGAGGTAAAACATTATACCTATTACCAACAATAATCAATAGTACACTTAAAAATTTAAGAGGGGAATCCTCATGTTGTATTCTAACCAAAATATAATAAATCAAAATAGCAAAAGATAGATAGTTAAGCTCTACGAATAGCCTTAAAAATGACCCAAAAAATTCTAAATTTAACTTTCACTTCAGTATTACTACAAGGAAAGAACATCAGGCCAAAAGTAAGATTCTTCGTGTCAGGATCTTAATACCTTAAAAGTTGGAGAAATAAGCAAACAAATTCTTGTATCATTTGTATTCTGGAGCTGCATGAAATATAAGGGTATATTCAGTGTATGAGTTGTGTTATATTTATAGAAATATATGCCCTTCATTTGAATTTTTACATCCAACAACATGAGTCTCAGGAAGTATTATTGGGAGGATAAATTATTTGATGATGTATCCACATAGTTTATGAAACAACAATGACATTCAATTGACTTCACAGCAGCTGTGTGGCACGTATAGATTATCCACTAGACAGTGGCAAGGGAACTAGGACTATAAATCTTAAAATATAAGAAAATTGTCTGCAGAATGGGAGAGGAATATATTACAAAACATTTTGATGATCTCTTCTCCCACAGGAAAGCTCTGTGGTTGAGCTCAGCATTTAAAGACTTTATTGAATTGTTTATTCTTTCATACACATTGTTGACAATCAATTTGCCTGATTGAAGAACCAAGAGCGAAGAAACACAACCTTGAAGGCAGTAGCCACCTTAAGTCTCATGAAATATGAAAACAAAGCAACAAACATAATTTGATTTGAACCAACATAGTGAAAATACTCCTTTAAACAAATATCTGCTGGGTAATCAATCTGTCAAAAGAAGGAGCTCCTATCAAGAGAGTAACCTAGAGGGAACGCAAAGTTTTGACAAGTGAAGATGTTAGAAATGATTTTCATACGGGTCAAAAACAGAATTTTTTATTTTCTTTTTGCCCTGATTAGTTAACGACCTTTTGCATACTGATAAAATATTAATTCCAAAGTCTTTGCATTTCCCAGTTCTGTCCCTTAAATTATACTAAGATCCGATAAGTGGCAGCCCAACAGTCACAGCAAAGCAGAACTGCATTAACAAATACCAGCATTTTTCCCAGAAGCATAGAACGGTGCAAAGGACAGAATTTCAAAGTTGGAATATACTAACACATGTCAGCAACTTTAGTAAGCCTCTCCAATAACAAAAGAAAAGCAATGTATTTTTTCAGATATTTTGTAAAGACAAACTTTTCTTCAGGAGTCCACATGAACAGACTTTATCCCTCCTTTCTTTGATGGTGTACAAATTTTGGCAGACAGTATCTGGTACACAGACTCCAGGAGAATGGACCAATCTCTGGTCCATTTTCCACTACTTTCCCAGTCCATCATAAAATCCCTGAGAACACAGTGTTTACTCAATAAATGCTTGGGAGTGAATGACTTCTGTCAGAGCACAATTAACATACAAAAGACAGATGTATGTTTCCTTGTTTTTGTTTCCTATTTGACCAAAGAGGTGGACACATCTGAACATGCTTGGGAAATTGCTTAAGTTTTTACTATTGTTATTTTTGATAGGAATTATAATTTTAAAATACTTGTTTATCAAAGAATACCCGAGAGAATATTTAATAAAATAAATGGTAAATCATCTTACAAACATTGCAAAGTAATGTAAATTTATAATAACAATATTCCCCAAATGTCGGGGATACACTCACCAAAATCCACTTATTAGTGATGAAGAGATTGTACATGTAACAAGGATAAGGTCTTTCCCACTGAATAAAATTGTTACCCCTTACTTGAGAGTCTCAAGTGTTCCTCTCACCTCTTATATGATTTTAGTTCTGTCCACATTTTGCCTACATTTAGGCATTCTGTAACAGCAGAGAAAACAACCCTACAAAGAAGAAATGTTCTTGCTCTTCAACCTACAGGGAGATCTAAATCTCTCTGAGGAATGAAAAGTGACATATAAAAATACAAAAGAAAAACTAGAGCAAATGATCAAAATATATCAGCCATTAATTCTAATGTATTTCTCTTTTTAAAGAAAAGGGACTCTATTACATTTTAATTTTAAGGTGTTAAGTTGTCCTTATTAATAGATCAGCATTTTTATTTTATAATTAATTATCTGGCTTTTTCCCAGGAATCTAATAATAGGCTACTATTAACAATTCATTTCTAGAGCTCAGAGACCTTCCCATTACACTTTATTATCATTTATTCTTTCTTATTTTTAGATATTCATTAACATATAGAGGAAAAACTCAACCAGTAAATTATGTCAATCTAATCACTGGGGAAGAGTAATTCTCTTAATATCGTATTAGTAATTCTTTCTGGTGGACTTGACCCTAAATATAATAAAAGACACATTATTTTGAAGCCCTTTGTTATAATTTTTCATTGGACACTTTTGTTACCATTTTAAAATGAACCTTCTGAGATCACTTATCCTCTTAAAGTGTTTTATTTCACTTATGTATTCTGGCATGATTGAGCATGTATATTTTTCTAAATAAAAAACCAAATGCCATCATGTCATAAAAGACAAACTACTCTTCACGTCCACATCTCTTTCTCAGTGGAAAATACCCTTCCATAAAAAGGAGGAAAGAGTCCTTCAGGGACGTCTGTTTTACCTTGGAATCCTGAAAAGGAACAGGACAAAAGAGTTCTGAATGCAGATGTTTGCCTGTGAGGTTCCCTCCTTCTGGAATTTAAATTAGAAAATGCACTCATTACTGGAAGCAGAAGTTAAATGTAAAGATGAACTCAGGAGGGCCCATGAATAGCTGAAGTTATGAGTAAACCAAACATATTAATAAACAAAGCTGTGAGGAAGAAACACCCACACACATCTATGCGTATGTATGTCCAGAAAAAGAAAATATCAAGGTGGCGAGAAGAAGAAGAAATGGGAGGAAAATCAGACACACAGGTGGCAGAGCCATGTTAAATAGAGATACTTAGATACTTAGAGTTAAAAATTAGAGATACTTAGAGTTAAAATAGAGATACTTAGATACTTAAAGTTAAAAATAGAGATACTTAGATACTTAGAGTTAAAAATTATGAATTGTGGGCTGGGGATATAGCTCAATGGCATAAGTGCCTGCATGGCAAGGGCAAGGTTGTGAGTTCAATCCTTGATACTGAAAAAAAAAAAAAAAAAGAAGTCCAGTCTCC